CCCTCATGGATTTTCTGAACCCCAAATGTGACAATTTTGTCAATTAACCAAGCCATCAAGATGAAAATGAGCCTCATCGAAATTCAGCCACATTTATGCAAAACGGTCATGGAAGATTTCAACAAAAGAGTGCATATGTGCCAGCAAAGCCGTGGAGGCCATTTACCTGATATGCTATTCCATACATAACCTTATACTGTATACTTTATGAATCAATAAAAAATTTACAATTTTTCATTATAAACCTGTGTTTTCTATCAAAATTACTTCTTGCGTGAATTTTGGGACACCCTTTATTATTATCACCATTATGGAAGCTGAAAGCCTGAATAAGTATCCCACAATTGGAAGCAGAGAATTTACTTTGAGGTTCTGGCAAGAGAACTCAGCTACATTCAAGGAAATGTCCTTACTTTTGGTAAGGTTATATAAGATTATGATCTTTAACTGATGTGGCAGCATCAGGAAGTATAAATATAGAAAGGTGAGGGAGGAAGGGTTTGTTAGGTGTTCATATTAGCTTAGCTAACAGAATGTCAAAAGATTATAATTTAGATAATCCTAATGTCTAAGAAGAGTGGGAATAGGGAGCTATAGGCTTGCTAGATTTTGGAAAGTGCTTGAGTGAAGTAATAAGGAATAAAAATTTTGGTCAATCCTCTCTTTCATACTCTTTTTCTCGCTCACTTTCTTACTTTTAAGTCATAGACATTACCAAGTTGCTTGAGGTGCAGCATATTACCTTTTCATCTGTTGCCAATTAAAATATAAGAATTTGAGAACAGAGACCATGTTTGTCTGACACATTATTATATTTTAGCATCTAGCAATGCCTAGCATAGAGTATGCAGGCAAGAAATATTTGTTGAATAAATTTAACCTGTATTGGCAGTTGTACAAGTTTTGTCTAAAGCAGTGGTTCTCAACCTTCCTAATGCCGCGACCCTTTAATACAGTTCCTCATGTTGTGGTGACCCCCAACCATAAAATTATTTTCGTTGCTACTTCATAACTGTAATTTTGCTACTGTTATGAATCGTAATGTAAATATCTGATATGGAGGATGTATTGTCATTGTTACAAATTGAACATAATTAAAGCATAGTGTAGTGATGGCAAACCTTTTGAGCTCGGCGTGTCAGCATTTTGAAAAACCCTAACTTAACTCTGGTGCCGTGTCACATATAGAAATTTTTTGATATTTGCAACCATAGTAAAACAAAGATTTATGTTTTGATATTTATTTTATATATTTAAATGCCATTTAACAAAGAAAAATCAACCAAAAAAATGAGTTCACGTGTCACCTCTGACACGCCTGTCATAGGTTGCCATTACTGGCATAGTGATTAATCACAAAAACAATATGTAATTATATATGTGCTTTCTGATGGTCTTAGGCGACCCCTGTGAAAGGGTTGTTGACCCCCAAAGGGGTCCGACCCACAGGTTGAGAACCGATGGTCTAAAGGGTTTAGGTAAGGTTACAGAAAGACAACGAGTTTTTAAATCTTGCTTCTGCAACTTTAATATCTGTGGGATTCTATGACTTCGAAGACTTAACTTTTAAAACTTATTTTTTCTCATATTAAATAGGCATAATACTTTCAGAATTATAGTAATGAGAAAATTAAATATGTTATTATTTGTTTTTATTGACTTTAGAGAGGAAGGGAGAGGGAGAGAGAGAGAAACATCAATGAAGAGGAAGAATCATCGATGGCTGCCTCCTGCATGCCCCACACTGGGGATCTACCCGGCAACCTGGGCATATGCCCTGATTGAGAATCAAACCGTGATCTCTTGGTTCAAGGGTTGACCCTCAACCACTGAGCCACACAAGCTAGGTGATAAAATTAAATGAAAAACTTTATGTATATAGTGTTCCTAGTATATAGAAGACATTAAA